GGTGGGGGTCGGCCTCTGCTCCCAAGGGACAAGGGACAGGACAAGAGGAAACAGCCTCAAGCTGCACCAGGGGAGGTTTAGTTTTGGTATTAGGAAGAATTTAATCACTGAAAGAGTGATTTTCTGATTTCTCTCTCAGACTAGCTGATTAAGCCTCTATTGGGATAGCTGATGGTGCAACTTGTCTTTTACTTTCTACATTGGTGTCACCCTTTCTGCTGTTAGCAGAGTTAAAGCTCAGCAGAGCAGAGGATTCTGTTTTGGCTATAAAACAAGCAAGGGGAAAAAACCCCATGGATGTCATACCTTCTGCACGATGGTTGTGGCCAGCTCTTCTATGAGGTCCTCCTTGTGCTCCTGCAAGTAACAAGCCTCGTTCTGCTTGTCCTGCAGGAAAACAGGTAACTGGAGTTGCTAAAATCACCAACCACCAGCCCTTCCACAGAAATGGTGTAAATGAGGGACTGGGTAGCATGCCCTGCTGGCACTGTGGACAGGAATTACAGGTACTTGCATTGCATGTCACCTTCTGAAATGCAACATGCATCTGGGAAACAAATTCATAAACTTCACATCCAACTCTTTAGGAACAGCATGAGAGAGCCACTACTTCTCTAACATTTTCTATCTACTTGTTTTGGACCATTACCCAAATTAAAAGAAACTGAATTATTCTATTTAAATGAATTTTTGTTTGGAAAATGTTACCAGGCTGTCACTGTAGGTCTCTGCCTTAGAAATAGCTTCTTCCACAGCTTCCTCTGCAACACGTAAGGCCACAGCAAGGGTATCCATCATGCTGTGTCCTAGGTGAAGAATAAGATAAAACCACCATGGTCTTTATAAATCCACATTTTACATAACGAGCTCCAAAATTCAGGCTCATATTCTGCACATAGGTTCTAATCTTAGGTTGTTCGTTTTCTTGATCCACAATTATACACAGTAAAGTACCCTAAGACAGAGAAATTTGCCTCAATCTCTGTGTTACTTCTTAAAGGTTAACATTAAATAAAACAAACCAGTATTTTTATGTTGCTTAATTATAGAATCCAGCAAAATAGGAGGAAATCATAGGAAGAAAATTTGTAAACTTTATAAATACAAAAAAGAGAATTAAAAAAATATCTAAGCCTAGAAAAAGAAACGGGAGAGAAGTAACAAGACCCACACAGTAAGAAAACCACACTAGAATAAGCATGTTTTAGCTGTAATACTGAAACAAGAGATCCCTGAGGCATGGTACATAAAGGGGTTTTAGTGTCTTGCTCAAAGTTTGAGCTAAAAGATAGCTGGATCTGTGCACAAGAGCTCCCAGCACTGCAGGCTATCTGTCCAGCAGCTGAGAGTGCAAGGACTGTGTTTTTTGCAGCATACCTTCTGTCTGTTGGTAGAACGTGGAGTCACTGCCACAAAGGCTTCCTTCATTTTCAAAGCTTCCTTCAAAAAAACCTCCTTCTGCTCAAAATAAAAAAGAGACAGCACCGTGTGGAAGGGTAAGAAACAGCCATGGACAGCAGAGGCATTACTGGGTTGGAATATTCCCTCCAGATATGACACACAAAGAGGGATAGCTGCAAAACTCCTCCTACTTTTTGTATAGACCATGACTGTTTTAGACCAAAGACCTGTGCTTGGCACTGCTGAAGCCACACCCAGAATCCTGGATTACTCCAAGAAGGACATTGAGGGTCTGAAGTGTGGCCAGAGAAGGGCAATGAAGCTGCTGGGGAAGGATCTAGAGCCCAAGTGTGGGGAGGAGCAGCTGAGGGAGCTGGGGGTGCTGAGCCTGGAGCAAAGGAGGCTCAGGGGAGACCTTCTGGCTCTGCACAGCTCCTGACAGGAGCCTGGAGCCAGGGGGGGGTCGGGCTCTGCTCCCAAGGAACAATTGATACAAGAGGAAACAACCTCAAGTTGCCCCAGGGGAGGTTGAGGTTGTCCCTGAGGAACAATTTCTTGCCCTTGAGGGTTGTCCAGGGCTGTGCCAGGCTGCCCAGGGCAGTGGTGGAGTCCCCACCCCTGGAGGGGTTTCCAAGCTGTGGAGATGTGGTGTGAGGGACATGGGGCAGTGACTGGATTGCTAGAGTGAGGTTAATGGTTGGACTCAGAGGTTTTTCCCAACTGAACAATTCCATGATGCCATGACCCTCATTCATTTTGGAGGGAGAAAACTATTTATACAGTAAAAGAGAGAGAGATGGAGATGCTGCTCAGTGTACACTGACACAGCAGAAGTTAAGTACAGGGAATTTGCCTTTAATATGACATTTGGGGTTGCAATAGATCCTACATTTTAAAGGGCAGTGCTGTATAAATAAGCCAAACCCCAGACATATATACTAGTATTTAACTTCAAAGGGAACAAAAGGTTTCCCCACCAGTCACACAGAGCAGAAGGGACTTAGCAATGACATTTAGACTCAAAACCCTTCCTTGGGAAGGTCTCACCCTGAGTGCACTGCTCATCACTGCACTGTTCACACTTCCACCCAAGGACAGACCCAGCAAGACTAAAGCTTCAATAAAGGCAACACATCCTATTAAAGTTCTGAAGGACCCATCCCCACAGTTTGGAATTCCACTGCCCCACTTCTGCCCCCACTGACATGGATTTTCCTGCCTTCTATTCTCAGCTGTTCAGGAGACTTCTCTAGACATGGGAATTTGGCACAGAGAAAGCAAAAAGACAGATGAATGAGAATGTAAAGCATAGCTCACTCCTCCCTGGAAGCTTTTATGCCAGTTTTCATAAGACACACCTTCACTTTTCACTCAGGACTATGGAGTCCACTTACCATCACTTCAGGAAAAGACAAAGTAAAGACTATAGAAAAAATGCAGTCTCTACAAATTAATTACACTAAGAAAGAATCTGGTCTGGCAAACCCAGTGCAAATTCAAACATTTTGAGTAATTTGCTGAAGTTGGTGTTATGGCACTAAAAATCACTCCTCCTCACCCATTTTATATCTCTTCTCACAGGTTGGTGCACTGTAAGAGCATAGTTAGGGGAGAGCTGTCTCTTCACTTAAAAGGGTGACACCAATCAGCACCTTTTAACCATTTACAAACACCAGGACAAAGAGGTGGCCAGTCCCAGCTCCTCAAGCACACAAAGCTCCCAGTGAGGACCATCTAATCTTGGCCAACCTGGACACTGAATGCATCCCACGGGAACCAAATTTTGCTTCAGACACCACAGAAATGGGCTCTGGGGCCAAATGCTGAATGCAAAATGATTTTCTCATTCATTGGCTACTCAGAACTGTGATAAATTTTGGAATATGAGCTGAAAACTGCAATTTATTTGACAGACTGGAGATAACAGTTGTGTATCAGTGCTGTAATTAAGATTAAACATTCTTTGAATTCTTAAACAGTTCTCTGGACACTTCACCTGTTTCTTCTCTCCACTGAGGGATTTCTTTTATTCAAAGAATAGCCTGGCTACTCGGAGCTGTGATAAATTTTGGAATATGGGCTAGAATGCAAACTGCAATTTATTTGACAGACTGGAGATAACAGTTGTGTATCAGTGCTGTAATTAAGATTAAACATTCTTTGAATTCTTAAACAGTTCTCTGGACACTTCACCTGTTTCTTCTCTCCACTGAGGGATTTCTTTTATTCAAAGAATAGCCTTAAAACAAAAATCTCTTTGGAAATAATCTCAGAATTTCTGTTGTCTCAGTTTGTCAAAGCAAATAAATGAATGAGACCTCAAGACATCTGCTCTCACCTATGGCATCTGGACAAAGGCCACTCTCCAGCCTGTGCTTCTTGTACAAGTTCTTCAGGACTTTGGCACTCCCAAAACACTTGAAGCGACTTTTGACATTATTATAGTACCAATCCAGAGACTGGGTCCTCAGGAGCCTGGAACAGAAAGAGACAACATTTGGAATGATCCTACAACAAATAAAGGTGATTTGGTTTGCCAGCCTTTGAGGTAGAAAAGGATCTTTTAGGTCTCGGAGCATAAACTTATTCATTTCTAAGTAATTCTTTACTGTTTGTGTCCCATATACTGAGGCAAAAGGGGAAAAAAAAAGGTAACTCATGAGGAAACATCTGACTCAAGGTTTTATTTGGTTTTGCTGCTGCTCTCTCCTTCTCTGTTACAATGCCAACACTCCCACCTTTGGAAACATATCAACAAGCCTTAAAACAGGTTTTTAAAAGAGCCTTTATTTACACAGATTTACAGATACTGCAAGAACATTAGCTCATTAATCAGAGAATCTGTTTGGGTTGGAAGAGACCTTTAAAGATCACTGAGTCCAACCATTCCCCTGCACAGTCAGGTCCCCACTGCCCCGTGGCCCTCACCCCACATCTCCACAGCTTGGAAACCCCTCCAGGGGTGGGGACTCCACCACTGCCCTGGGCAGCTGCTTAATGCACTGCAAAAATGAACCTTTCCATAAAAACAAATCCCTGCTTTTACTGGGGGAAACCTATGGAGCAGACAAAGCCTAATTAGATGACCTCAAAGCATTGCATTCACCAGTCTACTGACTTGGGGGTTTGGTTGCAAACTTCATTATAAACTCTGTTTTCCAAAGTTTTATAACCTAACTGAGAAGCTCCCCATGGTTCTTACTTTGTGAAACAGGAGATGATAAAAAGCAGCTGCTTTACCAGTCTTGGACCCTTTTACTTTTGTGGATGTGACTTTTTTTTTTAATTAACCAATGAAAATTAAAAAAACCCCAAGACAAACCCACCTCTGAAATACAGGTCTGTCCACAGCTCAGAGCTGCTGCTCTGTGAGAGCCTCCCAAAGATAACACAACCACATCAAACTGAAGAAATGTTAGGAGTGTAAATTTTAAGTGGGAAAGCAACAGCAGTGTTGAGTTTTCACTCTCTCAGGTCATGCCCAAGGCTCTTTCACTGGAGGCTCAGCCTTGAGTGAAGAACATGGAGGGGTTGGGAGCCAGGAGAAGACCATTTGGCTGAGCTGTGCCAGAACTGAGACACTGGTGGCCAGGACCTGCTTGGCCACAGGCATATTGCAGTGAAATATTCTTGTCTTTGACCATGATGTCCCCAACCAGGCAGTGCCTGGTGCTGTAGGACCACCATCCTCAAAGCCATGCTCATCCTGGGGAGCTGTCCATCCCTCTCTGGCCACACAGGCACCATGTTACCCATAAGTGGTTGAGAAACTCCAACTAAACCAAATTAGACCATCTCAGGCCCTCTCTGCCCATCCTGGCCTCACACAGAGCACGAAGCTCAAAGCCCCTGTATCCACTTTGCAAGCACTCAGTGTCCTCAGCCTGGGGCCCAAAGAAACACTGAAGATTTAGCCTGTCACTTCTTATTTGCTCAGTTTTAAGAGTAAAATTGCTTCAAAACTCAGCATCCTGAAATATTCTTTCCCTGCCAACAGCAACATTTGCTTTTCCCCTTGGGCTGATGTTTTAGAGCTCGTAATGTCCTGCTCGTTATGAATTGTTGAATTAAAGCATTTCAGTCCCTTTCAGAGAACTCAAAGATGCTCCCAAGGTTCAAGAATGCAATTTCACCTCCATGCCCTCTGGGATGGATCATGACCAGGGCACACAAACACCACACACAGGAGCAGGCTGCCAACGCTCCGTCCCCTAAAAACCACAGAGAGAGAGAGAGAAGGTTGGAGCTGGAGCAAGGAGATCTTTAAGGTCCCTTCCAAACCAACCCATTGGATGATTCTAAGCTTAGGTTATAGGTGTGAGTTTGGTGAGGACCACCTTCAGGTGTGTGGCCCATGGAGGGGAAATGTCCTGCAAGAGGGGAGGGAGACAACACTGAGACAACACTGGGTATAACTGGAGCCATCAGTTTGAGCCTCCAGGAGGAAAATTCACCTCAGAGAAGAACATGTCAGCATTTAACTGAGATCTGTGCCCTGTATTGTCCCTGGGAGGCCATATCTCATCAGGGGTGAATGCACCCCGGGCACATTAACCCGACCTGCTGCCCCCAGGAAGGTTGTTGTGGTTTAGGGTAAACTGGGGTGAAAATTCAGATATTGCAGTGGTTATAAAAGTCAATTATCAGAAAGAAGAGAGCTTTCAAAGCCAGGGCTCTGCTCTAATTTAGCTGACTGCAAACACCAGGGGTGAAATCACAAGGGTGGAGAGTTAATGGCAGTTCAAGCAGTGACCCAAGAAGGGGCAGGACCTCTCTTCAGGCACCCACCAGCAGGGAAAGCTGTGAGAAGCCACATCCAGAGCAGCTCCTGGCAGCATCCCAGCAAGAGCTTCTGCCAGAACCACACGTGTCCAAGGCTGCTTGCCACGTCTCACAGCCAGTGCTGGATAGTCCTGCTCTGTTTTTCCCTCTGTGAGCTCCCCCAGCATCCACTCCACTCTTCTAGCCTAATGCTGAAAGGTTCTCACAACACCTCAAGTCCAATCTTTCTTGCTCCTCTCTAAACAAGACAGTTTAAGATGTTTGCTGTGGCTCCTGAGGAGCAGCTGAGGGACCTGGGGTTGGTTAGCCTGGAAAAAAAGAATGTTCAGAGGAGATCTGGCTCTTCACAACTCCCTGACAGGAGGCTGGAGCCAGGTGGGGGGTCAGGCTCTTCTTCCAAAGAACAAGTGATGGGACAAGAGGAACTGGCCTCAAGTTGCACTACAGGAGGTTTAGGTTGGATGTGAAGGGAAATTCCTTCCCCAAAAGGGTTGCCCAGGGCTGTGCCAGGCTGCCCAGGGCAGTGGTGGAGTCCCCACCCCTGGAGGGGTTCCCAAGCCGTGGAGATGTGGGGTGAGGGACACGGGGCAGTGGGGACCTGGCAGTGCTGGGGGAATGGTTGGACTCAGTGATCTTTAAAGGTCTCTTCTAACCAAAAAACCTCCATGATTCCACATCTTCTAGCCATCTGACCATTCCCACTGTTTTTTTTTTTTCCCCAGGGACAAGATTAAAAGGACCCAAGTGGTCTCTATCTTTGTTTAAATACAGGTCCCAGAGCTGGTCGTTGGGTGTGGAACAACCCAAGATGTTCCACTGTGGACCAGCCAGTGGCCAACCCCAGCCTGCAGCCCTCATCATCACTGGTAGAAATAGAGCCCAAGAACTTGTCCCCTCCTTCTCTGAGCCCTTCTGTGTTTCATTCAGTGCCTGGAAATGACTCCCCCACCTCACTGCCAAGCCCCAGCAACCTGGTTAAAAGGTGGAACACTCAGATATTGCTGAAATGGAACATTCCACATGTTTACTTCAAAGTGCTTTTTATGTAGGTATTTTAAATTACCACATATATTCAAGACATATATATATATATATGAGCTATAGGATTTATTTTATGACATAAAAATCATTAATAGGCAAATAAAAACATGACCACTGAAACAAATCTTTCCCACTTAAGTAGAAGGAACTATTTCACTTGATCTGAATCCCTTTTCCCCCAGAAATTTCCTGTCAAATTTTGGCTTTAATTTCCATTAAGATATATTCAGTATCTCCATATTCCTCCAAGGAAAGAAATCCTGTACCCAGGTCATCTGATACTAGAGAGTTTTCCAGGCAAATTGAGAGAATTAAACCACCCTGCATCCTTAGCACATTTCTGACACTCAGATGTACCCCTCATGCTGAAGCAGAAGAAAAACATGAATCCAAGCAAGTGATGAGAGCTACACTGCACAAGGATGTGTTGTCTTTTTCTGTCATAGCTGCTCCTGCTCCCCAGGAACAACGACAGCAACAGAGATCCATAAATTCATCCCCTGCTGTGCTACCGCCACCGACTCAGCCTGTGCACCTAACCCACTGAAGGGAAGGAAAATCCACACTCAAACCTCACCTAAATAAACTTCAGGATGCAGAGAGCAACCTCCAAATGCTCTCAGGAAGATTTGGTCGTGGAATTTTGTGTTCACATCAATGACACAAAAGTATTTCCAGTCGGAATGCAACGGGACGAGGAAATGCAACATTCACCCCCAGGAGAAACGTCTCCTCTGAGCACAGCAGACACCAAATGGAACAACAGAACATAAAGCCACTTTAATTAGTGCTTCACATTACCTAAATGAAGGCTTTTCTTCCTGCAAACTTCATTTTTAATCCACAGATTCTTGAAAAAACAGCTGAAGGAGGAAAAAAAGGACGGCCGGGGAAGCATAAAAATTTTCACCAAAGAGCTCCAAAATCTGCTCCATCAGAAAAAAATGCCAGAGGATAAACCATGCAAATTAATTCTGTAATCCTGATTAGAAAAATACGCAGGGCTTTTACTATCGAGCTCAAGAATGCTAAAAAGACAACAATCCTCTGCTGCAAGGTCTGTTTCTGTTCTTCTCCTGGGAGAAAGCTGTGAACAAACAGCTGTGAAATGCCAGCAAAGATGAGAAGATTCATCACCACGGAGGAGCAGAGAGAGAGCTGGGCTCATCTCAAGATTATTTAAAAAACAAAGCATGGGGGGGGGAAGAAACATCAAAAAAAGCAAAAACAAAACCCCATCCACCTTTGCTGGGGAGGGAGGAGATGTGATTTCAGTCCCTGTCTGTCCTCCTGGTTCTCCCTTCTGCTGTGTTCTCCTGGGAGGTGTGCACACAGAGATCCCACCACCAAGATGAGACCTCTTTGTGGCTCTGCTGCTTTGCAGACAAGCCCTGGCACACCTGGTGGGAGCGTGATGCCTCCAAATTCCAAGGCCCATGTAGGCTCCTAGTTGGGACCCACGTTCCTTCATCTCCTTGCCACACACCCACCCGCCGTGGGAGGAGAAGGAGGAGGAGGAGGAGTGATGCTCCACTAACCACCTGGATGCTGTTCAGATGTTTATCCAGCACTTCAAGCAAGATCTCCTTAAATTCCAACAGAAAATGGGGTAGATGGGGAAGAGCTGGCCAGCTCCAGAAGTTCACCTCATC